AAATGACCGTTTTCTACCCGTCCTTTAGCCCATAAACATGCTGATTTTGTTACTGTGCCTTTAAGACTGATATATGTAAATGAGCTCTGCTCTACAGGTGTGCAGGGAGAACAGTTTTGCCTCTCCTGTTAGAGGAGCAAACACCTGCCCCACAGCAAGGTGGAAGCCAATCATGTGGCAGAAATTTTGGAGTGGCATCTAGGGTGGCCAATCAGTTTTCACCCCTTCAAAACCACAGAAGCCTATCACAATATCTGCAGCATGGGACTAATTTTCAGTGTGGTACACAGGAGCCATCGGTTAACCAGTCCTGTGTGCATATGTGCGAGCATATATACATGTAGAGTAATCCTGCAAATTGCAGAGTAGTATAAATAATAACAATCACAATAATTAGAATATATGTAAACGATATCCAACAGAGAAAAAATAAAAATGAATAAACTCTAAATAGTGGTGAAGCAACCAATCATGCCATTAACATGCAAATTGCTTTCTTGTAGTCTATAGAAACGCCAGAGCCTTCAGACAGTCAGATGGTCACAGCTGTGGGAAGTGCTCTTAATAAAGGAGAACACACTACAATACAACTGAGTAAACGCAAGGCTGCCATGTGGCAGTCATTTTCAACCATTACTAAAGCAGAAGGAAACCAGCTATACGGGACTGCAGGCGGGAGCAGGACAAAAAAACGTTCAGGTTTTAGGCAGGAGCAGGACAAATGTTCATATTTCCTACAGAAGAGGGATGAAATCCTGCGGAAAACTTTGTTCCGAGTGGCTGTGCCTCATTCAGAAAGGCAGTCCAGGCTGAAACACTCCTGAAAACTTCAGTATAAATGGGCGGAGCTTAAGTGCTGCCGGCTGAATAGTTGGATATACGTAAATGCATTGGGTTTCCATCACAGAAACGATTTGAAATCTAGGTGTTATTTGGAGCTTAGTTTTCATATGAATGGACTGGGAAGTGAATGGTATGTATTGAAATGTTTACATACTGTATCAAACTGTTATTTCAAAACAGTTAGGAGAATTCTGTTTTTCATGAAATGGGCCCTTTTACCATTTCCAAAGTCCAGTATTTACAGTTACCATCCAATACCTAGTTTATCTAATCAATGCTTCATTAAATTACATCAGGTGCTGCTGAAGGAGTTAAACAAATTCTGATACCAAACTTGTGTTCTTGTCACTGTATTTTTCTAATCAACAACAACAAAAAAACATTCATATTCATATATGTAACATATATATTATGTTTTAGCGTATTTATTGTGATGCTCTACAGTGTTTTTACTGGAAAAAGAAACAAAACAAATACTTCTGCTCAGCACGGTATGTTGAGAATATATCATATTTATATTTTGGAATATAATCACAACATATAAGAATATATCGCTGTGGTCAGAAGAAATCCTCATATCTCCGTTTTCGTCGTTTTTCAGTTTTTTACATAATTTGAAAACACCTGTTGCTCTTTGCATTGTGTGTACATTTCATGATGATTGGACACAAAGAAATCACCCAAAAATGACTTGGAAAAAATTCTGGTTCCATTGACTTACATTAAAAGTAAAGTATGTTTTTTCTCTCTCCTGTAAAGTTACCATTTTGGAGATACAAGGCTTTATTCCGATAACAGCGATATATACGTTTCACAGGGCTTAATTTATTTCTAATATTGGCTTTCTGTCTGATGTAATACGCACAAAACCAATTGCACACAACCTTCAGACACTCACAGAGTCCTCAGTTAAAGAGCAATGAGCTCCAGCATGAAGCCCATTGACTAAAAGCTCACAGTGAAACTACTGGACTTCCCCAGTGCAGCATATGACAAACCGTAAACACTGTTTATTCACAGTGAGAAAAAAAAGAAATAACAAAAGAGATTTCTCCCTCGCTCTTATGAGTCAGAGGAAGCTGGCGTGCATGCTGGCTGACACAGGTGAGGCTGACTAACACGACCTGGCATGAACAGAATCAAACAGACGCAAGTTTCTTTGTCTGACAGACTTACAAACATGCAAATTCAGTCATTTGCAAACTCTCCAGAGTTGCCCTTCTGGAGTGGTCAGAGCAGCGCTATGCAAAACTGCACTACACGCAAAGTTCTCTACACACAGACTCGGTGCTCTAGGGCTGAACGATACCGGAGGAACAGTCACATCGCTATATTACTGATTTTTTATGATAAATACTGCAATATTCAAAAAACAAAGAAAAAACAAAAGATGTAATCCAGATAAGCTATTCCCAAACTGAGATAACTAACTGTTTGCAAAATAATGACTGACACTCACAACCGTATCAAATGCTGTTTACATGTTGATGGTAAGAGGCTGATGGCAAACCGGATATTCTATTGTTTTCAATGGAGCAGCAACGGAAAATTCCGCCACCACCAGCGGTGACTGTACCACAGCGGTCAGTGGAACGTTCCATCAAGAGTTTTGACGTTGACCACAGCGGTGGAATAAACCAGATGATGATTTTTTTGGGAGCTGTTGACGCCAAACGTTACATTGTCGAAGTCCAGGAGCGGCCAGCATTACGCAAACACCTTAAATAAACAAACAATGCAGCTTAAGCTTAGGGGTGGGTGATACGGCAAAAATATTATCACAATACTACAAGACATTTTCATGATACACGATACGCATCGCCATTTTTTACGATTTTCTGATGTTTATTAAGTAGGAACAGACAAAACAGAACCTATAATGTAAAATAATAGTAATGAAAATAATAATAATAATAATAAACCTATGTTTTACACACTGCACTGTACTAAATCCAATTAAACAGGCTCATCATCCAACTAAATATCCTCATTTTGTTATGAAACATGCAGTTAGTCGGTGTTCTTTAAGTACGGATGATACTCATTATATGCTTCAAAATGCATATATGATAAAACAATAAAAAATGCCCACTCCTATTTAAGCTCTCCTCTGATAGTCACCTATTTCACTGGTGATGCTGTAACCAGAGCATCGTTTTCATGGCAGCATGCCGTACCACTATGAGACACTAAACACCAACATGTAAACGCAACTTAGGGAAAAACTCTTTGTAACAAACCTGCAGTGAGAACGTCGGTGGCAGCAAATTAGCCTGAATTATTACAGCATCCAAAAATTCGAAACCCTTGATTTAATGAGGACACACTGGCACCAACATCATGAGTCGACGCTCGACTACTCAGCACATCACAGCTTGCATTTATACCAAGAAAGGCAGCCAGTCTTTTAGAACAGCAGACAAATGCTCATGGTAAGTTACCTCAAGCCAAGTCTTTTTCCATTTCCCCTTATATTCAGCTCAAAAACAGACAGATGAAGATGAAGTAAACCAATATCAAGCGTGAAAATTGTTGTTGAAAGTTTTAAAATTGTAAAAATGAACTAGAACTTTGTGATGTCACCGCATACAGCACTGCTCTGCTATGTGATGCTATGTGACGCTGTGCAAAGCTTGCAATAGACATTCAGGTCATTTTTTTACCGTGCACTTTAAATATATACCGAATGCAGTCTACGCAACACCCAGACTGATCTCGGAGAAACACAACAAAGTGGGGACCTTTTTTAGACACTTTCATTTTAAGGATGTCATACAATCACTAGCATAAACAGGTTTACAATAACGTTCTGACAGACTGTATGTTTTATGCATGTGTGCATGTATGTAGCAAGAAACGAAAAAAAAACCAATCAAGATACAGAAATAAAGCCAAAGGCCTCCAACCAGCTGAGCGTCCAGCTCTATTGAGCTAATCTGCTCATCCCTACACCAGCAGAGCGCTACGCTCTCTTTTTTATTGGGTGATTTGGTTACTAAGGTTTTTGTTTCCATGGCCACGCACTCTCCAACAAACTGGACCACTGAAGACCTTCCACCACTGCAGCTGGACAAAACTCGCCTTTAGAAGATGCCAGGATAAAAATAAGCCCATCAATGGAGCTACACACTCACAAGCTCTGTAATTACTCCTGAGCCAGATATAAAGAAGACAGCCAACCAGGGACAGGACAGCATTAAAATGCTCTATTGTGACATCAAGCACAATTGTTTCTAATATTGCAGGACTGTTAGAATATTTTTTATGTTTAGTTTATGTTTAAAACACAATAATACAGACTGAAATCATTTCAGCACTACAGTTAAATAACTATACATCCAAAAAGACTTTATCAGTAAAGCCATTTACCTTCACCGTCACTATTTAAAATGCTCGGAATCATTAAAGGTGAATGCCACTGATTTTTCTACATTTCTTCACAATTCAGTCGTTGAGATATTAAGGAACAGGTGGAACCGGGGTCTACAACTATATAGCCACTTTATTACAATCCAAAACCGCCAGAGAACCGTCCTCCGAGGTTTAAACGTGATGTTGATGATGGTGAAACTGTGATAAATCTGAAAACATAAGTTTCCTTTGGGGACTATTTTACCTTGAAACACCCTGCATGTATCCTTCCACCATGACTGACTTTAAAAACAATGTTTAAGGCCGAAAACCTTCTTAAAGCTATTATAAAACAATGTCTCAGCATCAGGCGGTGCGTTCATAACATTCTGATGTTATAATTTCATTCGATGTAGCTTTCAAAGACACTAAACTCTACAGACGTCTGGTTCCTATCACCACCACTGTGAACAATTCTGGCTTGGTCAGTTTCTCTAGAATGCAGCATTTCACACCAAACCACTCTGTATGACTTTTTTTTTACATTTTTACGATATAATCATGCAGAAATTTAGAAAACTCAGTGGAATTCCCCTTTACGCTTTGAAACAGGGTTTTGTAGATCACTAAAACTGGTAACCATCACATTCCTACAACCAGCACAACCTGGACAAGGAGTCACACACCTGAATCAATAGCCAGTACTGACCCCAAGCACCTGCTCCTCACAGCTACAGTCCAAAAACACCTGCTCACTGCTCCTTGAGGAGCCAGGAGCGACCGTTAGAGCGAGTCTCTGTACTGACCTGGGTTATTGGCTTCCACTTCCAGAACGTGCAGCTCAGTGCACTCAGCCAAAGAATGCTCCAGACAGAGCTGCAGGAAACGCGCCTGGGTCCGGCTGACCCGCTTCAGCAGAGAGAGCAGGGCCACCGTCTGCTCGCACTCGTTCCAGCCTTTAAACCAACTGGCCAGGACGCCCACCTGGTCACGAAACATCATGGTCTGGTGGGCAGCGTCTGGGCTACGGGTTGGACGAGAGAGAAGGAAGAGTGATGGCACTTCAATGGCCCTCGACTATAGGCTCAGCGCTGTGGGGCGGAGACCACGTCACCGACGGATCCGGGAAAGCTCCTGCCCTTCTTTATCTTCTTCAGCTTTGAAGCCGGACTGGCTCTGCTGTCTGAGGTCGGGGGAGGTTAGCCGTTCCTGAAAACGCCAGCGTTATGTCGTCATCCTTGTTCTGTTCCGTCTGGCTGGCCTTTGGGATGCTGCTGTTCTCCTCCAAACCTCTCAGTCTGCTCAGCTTTAACCTCCTGTGTGGAGCGTTAGAGCAGCTCTAGTGCTGATGGCATTCTCCACAGGGAACTCCTTTAATCTGCAAAGGCAAAGTGACAGTTAGAGCCGGCGAAGGGCTTTCCCCTGGTGCGTTATGTCAGATTTCCTCTTATGAACAGCTGTAGTAATGCTATAATAAACTGTAAGACTTGTGTAGTGCTGTACAGTGAAAACGGGACTCTAAAGTGTACATGAATGATATATCACATAAGGCTGGACAATATGACGATATTTATTATTATCGTGATACATTACATCCCAATATTTTACATCTTTTATTTCTTTATTTTTTTATTAATTATATTTTTATTTATCCTTATTTTATCTTATTTATTACATTACTATACTGTTGTAATTTTAATGGTTTATTGATTTTTTTTAATTTACTACTATGATTATTATTACTTTTTAGCATTTGTTCTGTATTGGCTTGGCTACATAAGGTTGACCGATTAATTGACTGATTGAACATGCTTTTCTGAGCGTATCACGGACACACAGATGGACCATGATCGGCCCCAAAGCACAAGCATTGGGGGACCCCCACTCTCCAACAGTAACGTGTAAAAAAGAACAAAAAACATAATTCTGGGCAATACTGACAAAATTCAATATCACATACAGTGTATCTGAAAATATCACAGTATCACAGCGTCAGGTGATATTTAAATTATTTACTAATTTAATTAATAAAATAAGTGAGCGCTGCGGCTCTAAAGGAATGTCCAGTACTGTTTGTTTTGATGCATTTCTTCTATTATAATTATACCGAACCTTAAGCAGTACTGTACACATTAACCAGACAGAAAGCACATTTCAATTAACTTCACTTTAAGCAACACTGGGGATTTGCTTAATTTTTGTTTTAAAAAGTAGCAGAAAAGGCCTTGTTAATGCACAATATACTATCATGTGTATATAATAACAATTTGTGCTTTTCTGTGAGATTTGAAGATCACTATATCTTTATTTATATATCATCATAAACAATCCATTCAAATGGCAACAATGAAATCCTGTTTTTCAGTTTTTACATAATTTGAAAATGTTTGCTGCTCTTTACATTGTGTGTAAATTTCATGATTAATGGACCAAAATAAGTGACCCAAAATGACTTAGAAAAAAGTCTGGTTCCATTGACTTACATTAAAAGTAAAGCATGTTTTTTCCTTCTCCTGTAAAGTTACCATTTTGCAGATACAAGGTTTTCTTCCAACAACAGCGATGTGAGATTTTAGGGGGCTGAGAACTTCATCATCTTTCATTTCTAGGGTTATTTGGGCTATTTGTTCATCTAATGTTGAATTGCAGTGGACTGTCCCAAGCATTTGGAACACCTCATGGTCTAACTCTGAGATCCCTGGCAGTTAGAGGCTCCAATGGCCTGGTCAGTACTTAAAGAAGAATTCCACCAATTTTTCAATATTTCTGCATAACTAAAGACGTAAAACAAAGCCATTCAGAGTGGTTTGGTGTGAAACGCTTCATTTTGGAGAAACTAACCGGGTTGGAATTGGTTCAGAGTTCCCAGTGGTGGTGACTGAGACATCTGAAGAGTTTAATACCTCTAACAGAGAAAATTATTACAAGAAATGGTTATGAATACGCTGCCTGATGTCAGAGACATTGCTTATGATAGTTTTGAGAAGGTTTTGGTCTTTTTTAACACAATTCATGCAGGGAATTTTTAGGCAAAATAACCCCAAAGAAAACATATTTTTTCAGATTTATCACTATTTCACCATGATCAACATTACATATAAACTCAGAAGACCTGTGTAGGTTTACTGGTGGTTTTGGATAGTAAATAAAATGTCTATATTTGTGTTGTAGTCATGGTGACCCCTGGTTCCTATCACCACCACTGTAAAGAAATCTGAGTCTCTACAAATCAACCATTTCACACCAAACCACTCTGAATGACTTGTTACATGTCATTAGTTGAATGGTGCAGAAATTCTGAGCTCTCCCTTTAGCAAACACGAACAAATGAGAGAGCACAAGTTATCTGGTTTCAGTGGACTTCAGTGTGTAAAACATTGGAAAAAAAACACTGAACTCAGTTTTAAATGTGGCCCTGCTGGTGCTTTCTTGACTGTTCCAACTCAAAAACATTAGAAAAAGGCTAATATCATAATGCATATTGTGTATGGTGAAAATGGCATTAGGTATCATGATGTTAAATATGTTATATATAACATACATTAATACCAAAAGTAAGTGGTGCCAAAAGTAAGCAAAGTCAAACTGCACTAAATACAGGATAGTTCTACACCACACTATAACACCTTCCCTGCTGAAAAAAGTACCATGAGAAACTATCAGGATCGAAACCTTTTGCTTTCTAATAGGAATTGGCTTCATAGTTTCCAACAGAGACCACTAGCTTCCTGTAGAACACCTTCAGATCCCATTAGGAAACCATCAAATGCATTTAGAAATAGCTATCATTCATATTTCAAACCTGTAGAATCCTTTAGATTGTGATATCAACACGTTAAAAACCAACAAATGCATTTGAGTCATTCTATGGAAACATCCATTTTTGTGTCCCTAGTGTTTACAGATATATTACACTTAAAACATGTCAGGGTTACAATTTATTTAGATTTTACAATAAAAAAAGATATTTTAACAATTACACTTTCTTAAGCATCAATTTAGCAATACTGGTTTTTAAAATCAATCATATAGAATTCCAAGCACCACAGAAGAGCTCATCCCCACAGTCATGTGTGAAGGCTGAGGCCATATTTTGAGATAAAAAATTACCATTTTAACTGCAATAATCTATACATGACTATGAAATATGTGGTTTAAATTACATAAGGAAAACAAATGCCAAATAAATATTATAAAATATAGAATGAAAGTTGTCGCCAGGAGTCGTGTCACTGGTGTTACTGTGTAACAAAAAATCTCTTATTTTGAAATAAAAGTCACACTGATGACATCACTCGACTTCCTTTTACCTGTTTTCTGAGGATCTATGAAGAAAAGCACATGGTGAGTCCACTGTGTCTTTCAGTTATCAGAGATTTTCTCATTTAGCTCATGATTTCATATGAAGCTTTTAGCTGAAGTCACTGGTGTGACCCACTTTATTCTGAGGTCACTGTGAAAAAAATAGAAAACAAATGGATTAAATTCCATATTTTAGTGGATATTCCACGATTGACAACATGTGGTTTGATGCTCCGTAGCAGCCATTTTGCAAAATGCATTTTCCATTAAAAATGTCTCTGGTGTTACCTTTCTTATGTGTAACACCGATGGCCATCAGTTACACCAGTGACTCCCACGGACAGATTAAAAAGTGGACGCTTCTGTAGAATGACCCACTTAGAAATAGCCATTATTCACCTGTTAAACCATGACAATCTTTTACACTGGCATATCAACCCATTAAAAAGGCCGAAACACCATCAGGAACCAACAGAAACACAATGGTTTCTATGGGCTTTCTCAGCAGGGTTCACATCCACACAACATTCCTGTCTCATTATAGCCTCCAGCCCAACACTTGCTATGGTGAACTTCTAGAAATGCCAGTTATCCTGTGACAGTAGGGTTCCTATCAGCTCCCAGCTCCACTCCGCTCGTGCTCCATGGCTGTGCACTCACACATCCATGCACACCCAGGTCATGTGGTGTGAATTTCCCCCGTCATGCATCCACAGGCACCGCTGCTGAGTCCAGATGCTTTTCTAAACTGCGACACTGCACTGCTGCCAATGTGGAGGGCTTTTCACAGAGCATTCAGCCGGACAGGTCCGGCATTTCTGGCGAGGGGAGAGCAAAAACGACACTACTGGCTGATTCTAACTCCAATTCCATCACAGGGCTGCGAACACTGACCCTCCTTTCCCTCTTGCCAAAGGCCAGAGGCGGATAAAAATAACTGAGCAGCTCGCTGACACATTATACACACATGATACAGCCAAAAAACTCCATTTCTGCTCAGATCGATCCGCAGCTGGGCTGCTCAACTTATCTGAAAGTGAAGCGTAGATAGGCTGGCTGATCTGAACGCAGCAGCCTTATGAAGTATGAATATGAATATTAGCTGTAGCCTTTATGAGCTCACCTCTCCGCGGAAAACCCTCAGCTTTCCCTTCGACAGCACGTCTGGGGAAGGCTAGCTTGGCTAGTGAATACATCCAGGGACGCAATCCAGCCCCAGAAACCTAAAAACGTGTCCATTTGCACGGCGGTGCACGGCTGAGGCTGTTTACTGGGGGCTTCGGTTCGGACTGAGCGCTGTTGCGGTTCCCTGCGTTGGAATCGCTGGAACAGAATAGCCAGCCTGCTTCTCTTCTCTCCTCTACTGGGTCTCAAACAGCCTGGAAGCTGCTGGAAAAACAAGAAAACTCCCTTTTCTGTCCCTTCACTCAGCCGTGCCCCGTTAAAACCGAATGGGCAACACTGTAACCCGGCTGTGCAGCGAGGAGCGCTGCGTAAAGTAGCGTAATAATAACGAACCAACATGAAGGAAAGTTTACTCACATTTACGCACGGGCTCATCCGGGGGGCGCAGCTCTGTTTTTCCACTTTTCGGGCTCTTTTTAAGCCGTGTGGGGAGAAGCACCCCTTCCCTGTGGGTCGCCGTGTTTTGCCATCCTCGCCTCAACTTTTTCTCCCTCCACTCGTTTCCACCGCCGAGGAGAGGACAGCACTGCTTCTTCCCACATGCGAATAATTAACACGAAGCATTACGTCAGGGGCTTGGCAGCACAAGGAAGCACAAAAATAGAGAATGGGGAGAGAGAGAGAGAGAGAGAGAGAGAGAGAGAGAGAGAGAGAGAGAGAGAGAGAGAGAGAGAGAGAGGGGGAGGAGATAGAGAGAGAGAGAGAGAGAGAGAGAGAGAGTTAGGAGTAGATCACATTGCCTGGCCAGAGGAGAGATTGGCCATTTTTCTTTAATAAAAAGAAAGAGAGAAAAGTGAGGTTTACATTCCAAAGCTGAATGATATGAGAATATGAGTGGAAGTGGAGGAAAGGGGAGGCTGAAAAGAGAAAAGTTCCCCCCCTTTTAGAAGCCCAGAGACCCAGTTGGCCCGCATGAGTTCTCCTGGACAGGCTTACAGCTTTATTTTGTCTGCAAAAGTGGCCAAACTCCCTTAGGAATGTAGAACAGATCAATAAGAGAGATCTGATTCTGCCCTTGACTTCTTCTTCAGTGAACAAGGCAGAGCTGCAGTGCGGATTCCTGCCATCAGGAGGCGCCAACGCGCAACAGAAGTTTACTCATGTATTTGAATTCAAATGACGCTTTCTTATAGATAGACAGGTATCAATCAATTAATCAATCAATCAGCCAACCTGTATTTGAGCTCAGAGATTGATGATATAGCCGAGCTTTATAAAAAAAAAACCAGGAGATTATAAAGAGTAAATAGAAAACGGTGATAGTTAAAGTACAGCAAAGAAAATAAGATTAACAAATTATTATTTAAAAAGTTCTCAGCAGAATACAGGGTAGGATTAGGATTAGCGCCAGGGAAAGGTTTAAGATTAGGTTTTATTCTGAAGTTGAGGTTAGGATTTGGGAACAGTAAGGTAAATTAAACTGAACATTACTTGAAAATAAATTAAAGGCAAGGTAAGAGTCTACAAATAATGTGTCAGATAGATAGATAGATAGACAGACAGACAGACAGATAGATAGATAGACAGACAGACAGACAGACAGACAGATAGATAGATAGATAGATAGATAGATAGATAGATAGATAGATAGACAAATGACTTAGTTTGTTTTTTACTTACTTTTGACAAATACTGTGTTGATGAGACATATTTTAGTCATTCAGAATTTTAGTCATATAAATATATGTATATATATATATATACACTGATCAGGCATAACATTAAGACCACCTCCTTGTTTCTATGCTCATTGTCCATTTTATCAGCTCCACTTACTATATAGGTGCACTTTGTAGTTCTACAGTTACAGACTGTAGTCCACTCAGACCAGCACAACACACACTAACACACCACCACCAGTGTTACTGCAGTGCTGAGAATGATCCACCACCCAAATAGTACCTGCTCTGTGAGGGTCCATGGGGGTCCTGACCACTGAAGAACAGGGTAAAAGGGGGCTAACAAAGTATGCAGAGAAACAGATGGACTGAAGAACCTGTCTCATGATGCAAAGAGCCCTTTAATCATGCAAAGGGTTCTTAGAGTGTTCCCAGTTGTCATTACCAAAGAACCATTGAAGAACATCTTTTTTAAGTGTGTATCTGTTACAGTGAAATGGCTCATTTATTTCTTTACTCTAAGAATTATGAATATGAATTGAAAGCTGGCCTTCATATTCATCACTTATGAGTTTTTCTGTCACATTCAACTGAATTTCTTTTAATAAAAATTCTGTTCATACTTGCAAATGAATGAGGCCTAAAGTGCAGACTAGCCTTAGCTAATTAGTATGTTAATATGTGAAAATAGTAGATTTCTAAGTGCAAGAAACACATTGAGTCGGTCAGACAGTGATTAAGCCTAGTCCTGGACTAAACTCTTCTCTCAACAGAAAACCCCCATTCAGAATGCTGTGTCCAGTCTAGTCCCTGTCTTTTTAGCCTCAAATCATGCTGAGCAAACTCTAATAGACTTACTTATGGGGTTTCTGACCCTGTATGACACTGTTATCTACAAACATGGACTGAAGTATGTTGCATTGATAAAAACATCAGTAGCAGCTGTACTTGTCTGTACTTTAGTCCATGTTTGTAGATAACAGTGTGTTGTACAGTGTCAGAAACCACATAATCAAGTCAGTTAGAGATTTTTGAACAACTCCACATGGTTTGAGGCGAGTGTGTGATGCAAATGCCAAGAGAACAGTCACTTTTATTATGCACTGTAATATTTTCATTGGCCTTTTATAAGAGATTGGTTTGGATAAACATGGATTGACCGTGGACGATTTTCACGTTAAAGGACCCAAATTTTGGAAAAACAAATTTTCCTTGCTTTTTGTAAATGGGTCATTCTACAGAAGCGTCCACTTTTCTATCTCTCCATAGGAGTCACTGGTATTACTGATCCTCATCGGTGTTACACATAAGAAAGGTAACACCAGAGACATTTTAAATCAAAAATGCATTTTACTAAATGGCTGCTACAGAGCATCAAACCACATGTTGTTAGTCATGGAACATCCACCAAAATATGTAATTTAATCCATTTGTATTCTATTTTTTCACCATTACCTCAGAATAAAGTTGGTCACACCAGTGACTTCAGCTAAAAGCTTCATATGAAATCATGAGCTAAATGAGAAAATCTCTGATAACTGAAAGACACAGTGGACTCACCATGAGCTTTTCTTCATAGATTCTCAGAAAACAGGTAAAAGGAAGTGAAGTGATGTCATCAGTGTGATTTTATTTCAGAATAAGAGATTTTTTGTTACGCGGTAACACCAGTGACACGACTCCTGGGGAACTTTCATTATATATTTTATAATATTTATTTGGCATTTGTTTTCTTTATGTCATTTAAATCATATATTTCATAGTCATGTATAGATTTTTGCAGTTAAAATTGTAGAAAAACATCTTTTTACCTCAAAATATGCCCTCAGCCTTTACACATGACTGTGAGGACGAGCTCTTCTGTGGTGCTTGGAATTCTAAATAATTGATTAAAAAAACAATATTGATAAATTGAGGCTCAAGAAGGTGTAATTGTTAAAATAACTTAATGTTTTATTTTAAAAAATAAATTAATTGTAATCCTAACATGTTTTAAGTGTAATATATCTGTAAATGCTAGGGCCACAAAAATGGACGTTTCTGTAGAATGACCCAAATAAAGTCTGATGTAGAATCCAAACACAATTAAAGTTTCAAAACGTACCTTTCACTCCCCACTCTGTGCTGTCTAAATACACTTAGTTAACACATCCTCTACAGGGAACAAACTTTTGCATTAACATATTGGAAAAAAAACAAACAAAAAATAGAAACATTATGTTAAACTCAGCAAATAAGCAGTAACTGTGCACTAAAATCTGCAGAAGTATGAACTGTGTGGAATCTAAGCTGCGAAACAACCATTTTTGTGATGGCACAAAAACAGTACATTGACATATATCTGCCCATTCAGCCTGCAGCAGCTTACACTCGCTTAGTCATGATGAAGTTATAAGGTCAATAACTTTGTTGAATGATTGGCAATACAGGATATCCAATCAGAACAGAGCTAATTTACATAAATCAGTCTTAAAGACACAGTAACAAAAACACCTTATGATAAAAAACAACAACAACAATAATAATAGTAACAATAATAATAATAATAATGATAATCAAAAACTTTATTTATATAGCACCTTTCATAAACTGAAGTGCAGCTCAAAGTGTTTTAGATGAAGCGAACAGCTTGTTTAATGCTGTAGGATAAAGTTATGACTGGTTTTGGTACATAAAACCTTCAGAGAGGCTAAATGTGGACCTAAAAAAATAAAAGACCAGAAAAATGTAGCCCTTTAAGTAGTTTCCTTGACCTTTCTGAATGCCTTTCTAATCCCCCCTATAGCCAACAGGCCTACAGCATAATATAAGTTCATTACAATAACCCGATCAGTGCAACATTAATATTTAATATTGGTGGGTTTTGCAGATCAATGCTTATGGCTCCTGACCAGAATCAGGTTCCTTATGTGAACATGCATCTGGTGTAAATACACCACAGCAGCTAATCATGAATCAGTCATGATCCACAGAAACTGCTTACACTGCTGTTTTTTGAAGGCGAAGTTCTCAAATGGCAACAAACGCAAATATCAGCGTATATAATTTCTTGCAGTGATTTTGCTTGATGTCTGAACAACTCCATAATATCAATGACTCAGTCCAACATCTGGCTCCTCTTTTACTGTCCTGTTGTGGCTCCACAGCAGAATCAGATTTGTAGGTAAAAATAAAATAATCCTCCTTTACAGTAAAATAAAGCTCTGCTGATCGTTCAACACAGTTTAACAATAAATGGTCTGAAACTCTGGAGTTAATGTAGAACTGCTGATTCACCCTTTAACCCTGAAGATCAGCGCAGACTGCTGGTCACCATAGCAACACAGAAAACAGTCGCGCCGAGCTAGTAGCTAATGGAAACGTAAAGAGAGAGATTTAAGACGAACATCGATAATTTGGAGACGAATGGACTTATTTGCATTTATAATCACTCCAGCTGGTTTCCTGATACGTTTAATACACAACGAGAAACTGACAAAACACTAAAACACTAAAAAGTCACAAAGATGAAGTCAGATTCTTGTTCGCCAGCTTCATGTTCTAATTTTCCCGTTCCACCTTAAACCAGGTTCCATTGAAGGTGGAATATCAAATGTTGAAAGACATTTTACAAGAAACTGTTTCTACTTTTTGAGGAAAAGTTTCCTGCTGAAGATACGAGAAAAGCGACTATAGCTGAGCTAAAGGTTAAAGCAGAGCAAAGTGAGTCTGTGTTTTCATTTATATTATAGTTTTTAGTCTATAGTAGGACATCAGCACATATTAAGACATATTTACAGCCAAGATGGTAAAACGTTACTTCAATAAAATGGACATAAAATGTTGTGGCTCGCGATGGGGGTTCGATTTTTGTTGAAAGGACAAAATGGCTCCTCTTAACATTTGGGTTGCAACCCCTGGCCTAGTAATTTCACTTGGTACCCTGTAAGTACTTGTAATATATGGCATTCGTTGTGTGTAGAGTCTAAATCCAGTTCTTAGGGCCTACAGCC